GGCGGCGGCCAGGGGTGGGGGTGGGGGTGGGGCAAAGCCTCTCCTCTGCGGGGGAGCCTAGGAACGCACAGAGAAGGCACTGGAAGGGGACTTCTGGGTAGGGGCAATGCGAATGCATTGTCCTCTCTTGGGGCAGACGGCTCTAAGAGTGGTGATGTGTGCTATCCTCTGCTCTCCAGGGGAAAGCAGCTCGGGTCAGCAGGTGCCAGACCCTGTGGGACTCATACAACCAGGGGGATAAAGAGGCTGTCAGAACCCCACAGCTTTAGGAGGCAGTGACCACGGGGTCCCCTACACACACACACACACACACACACACACACACACACACACACACACACACACACCATGCCCAACAGCCCCCTCCACAGGAGCACACTGGCTCGGGCCACGGCTATTGCACTCCCCAGCGCGCCTGCGCTCCCCTCCTTCTGTCTCACACTTAGCTTCCCCATGCCCACCAGCCACCTGGCCAGGAGCACACTGGCTGGGGTCACTGCTATTGCACTCCCAAGGGCGCCTGCTTTCTTCCCTTTCGGTTTCCCACTTTGAGCTCTCCCTTCCCTTAAGCTGGCGATCTCCTCTACCCGCTGACTTCCTCTCTCCCCTCTAGCCCCAGGTCCTCAAACTCTCTGGCCTGCCAAGGCTGTGTGCGCTCTTGTCTGAGCGCTGCTAGCAGGACGCAACCATCCTTGTTTATCTTCTCATGCCCCTCCAAAACACACTGGCTACTCGGCTCCTACCCCGCACCCTGCCGGTACCCAGTTCTCCCCCTCCCCCCCTCCCCGCGGTTCTGACCACCCTTCCTGGGTTCCTTCCCTGTGCACCCTGTGCAGCGCTAGGTCTGCAGCAGGAGCTACCACAGCCGCCTCGCCAGCTGGCTGGGGACCAGGCGGGAGGTGGCGCGCCCCGGAGGCTGCAGGAGGACGGAGGGAGGGGGAGAGAGAGAGGGAGGGAAGCAGGAGAGGAGGGAGGCCGGGCCTCCTTGTAGCCTGGCCCCCGCCCCCCGCCCCAAACGCCGGAGCGGGGCTGTCAAACGCAAACACACGCGCGCGCACACCCGCGAATACATACACTCGTCTCCCTCCGGCGCGCACGCACACTGCGCCTGGGGCAGACCAGAGAGCGGCTGCCTCTCCGGACTCCTGGACGCCAGAGGGTCCGGTTCCTCGGGCGGCTCATGCGCCCGCGCCCGTCCCCGACCCCATCTCGCAGTTCCTCCAGGCCCGCGGGACCCCTCCCGCCGCCGCCACCGCCTCGCCCGCCGCCCCGGGAGAAGCGAGCTGGTCGGCCGCCGCCGCGCAGTTCCTTCGCTGCCCCCGAGGTAGCTCCGTCGCAGGTCCTGCTGTCTTGGGGCTGAGTCCTGTTCCCGAGCTTCGGAGACTGAGCGGAGCAAACTTCACAGACCGGCCGTTGCGCGGCGGGCACCCCGGGTGCCCCACGCGCCCAGGTGGGCACAGGGCGTTCGGACCTTGGGGCATCGGGCAGTCTCGCCCATTGCACCTGCTAGACTCTCTCCCCGCTTGCGGGGACTCCAGAGAAGCCGCCACTTAGCGAACTTTTCTGTCCCCCAACCAAAGGGGCAAAGAAGGGTAGAGGGAGAAGTAGGTCCCCGCGGGGTAACCGCCACCCTGGAGGCGATTAGCTGGGCCCCGCTCGCGGGGGACCGCGCCGAGAGGGATGCAGAACCCCTCCCTGGGTCGCCCTCGGTCCCAGCTCCCGAGCCTGATCTCGCCCCAGCTGAACCCGCGGGAGCCAAGGATGAGGTGCCTAGGACCAAGCAGCCCGCGCGCAACGAGGCTGGGCCACCACCACGCGCGGCCATTCGCACCGGGGCAAGCCGCTTGACCCAGGCCTGGCATAGGGTGTCCCGGCTGCAGGACCGCTGGCCTCGCCGCTCCAGCAGCCTTCTATGCCTGCCCGCCTTCTCGCCCGCTCCCGGGGCGCCCGCGGTGGCCGCAGCGCCCGCGGAACCC